ACTCTATCAGCAAATAAATCTTAGATTTTTTTTACTTTAGTGCAGAAGTATAGTGGAAGTCATGTGCTCATCATACACAACAGGTCAATACAGTACAGATCTTCCAGTTTATTTTCTGTATAGTCCTACCCTCAGCACAGCCACAGCTTTAAAAGCAGTTTAGAAAGCCCTACGTTGTTTTTGGCTTGATAAACTTTACTGTCTCCCTTGTGCCTGTAACACATCAAATCAGGTGGATCGCCCTTGCTGACAAGTCCCAGACATGTATTTTTGAAACCTGAAGTATTTTTGGTGCAGAAGACTCACACTTATACAGACCTCCCAGAGCTGACCCATAAGCAGACTGCAATGCATGACACATCATCCTGGGTATCTTAGCTGTTAATGAAGCAGTAAACCCTGCAGACAGTATAATCACTTTACATTTGACAGTCTATGTAACTAGTCAATACAAGGTTCACAAACAAGTTAATGTAACACAGTTTACCCTGATCTTTTTTTTTCTTTTTTAAGAATAAATCAGAGACGTATAAAAGTGAACGCCTTCTGTGCCTCTCTTTTTTGCTTCTTAAATGTTTTCAAAACCTAACAGTCTCACAATGTTTCCCTGAAAGGCGGCTGAAAATACACACTGTAAAATCAATTTAGTGCATCTATGCAAGTTATATAACTATGTCTTTTATCATGTTGTTTACCCAGAACTCCCAATGGCTGAAAAGGTAGGGATCCAACCATTGAAAAATTAACTGGGTCTGCCAAAGGATTTAGAGATACTGCATTCAAAATTCTGTTTTAGAGGATGGGATTTAGTAGGTATACTGTTACTGATAACTAGAGTCAGTACTTAGCCAGAAGCAAAGCACAGTATAATACATCATAACTGCACAAAATCTGTAAGTGTAGTAGCCTCACAGGGCAGAAAAGCAAAAACTGTGTGTTTTTAAAACCCCTTAAATCTCTGCATTGTGACTATCAGTATAGAATCTGTCCTCTGGATCAGGCTTCTCAGCAGAGCAATTTAGAGCAACCCGGTCGAGTACCAGGCCATGGAGGGGCCACGCAGCCTTCAGCAGCATTGTGAACTGCAATCTTAAACTCTCAGCAAAGATGACGTGTAGAAAAGCACCATTGTTTTCATATGACTGTTCCGTGTAAACGGGAAACAGAAAGCAAGCTGGGTATGCTCGAATCCTGGGCACACTAGAAAATTTCTTTCCTGCATTTGTCTTTTTAAATAATATGAACTACACAATACAATTAGGTTATCGCAGAACAAAATTTTGGAGTGCTGAGCTCCACCCATTAGGAAAAGTAATTACACTTCCCTTCAGCATCCTTGTGTGTCACAGACCCACTACATATTCTGTTCTGCGTAGCCTGCTACATAAACCCCATACAAGGCTGCTAAATACTTGGGAAAATGCTGTACCCTATGCTTAATGGTCTCAGTGTCTACTTTTGATAAATTACCATGTATGCAAAGGCTGATAAAGTTGCTATTTCCTTTCACCACAGCACACCGACATTTTATAGAACGCTCCAGAGGGACGTTTGTTGTCCTTCTGTAGAGCGTGGCAGCAGGCATTAAAATGGGTATTTCCCTCAGCCAGGCATGTTGACTTGCTTCAGAAAAACAAGCTCGTGGAGCTGAGGAGCTCTCCTCTTTTTTATTTCTCCCACACATTGTTTAACTGCAGAATACCTTGGCTACTTCTGTGCTTTCCGCTACCATGAAAGTGAAGCTGATGTTCACCAGATCTGTGCCACTGCAAACACACACTATCCGTCCTTCCAACTCATTTTCTGATTTTCCAACAGCCTCAAGTGCCGTTAGTATTTTGGGATCCTGTTAAACAGAATAAATAACTTGTTACATTTGCAGTACTTTTATTATGCAGTACACTATGGTAAAGATGTATTTCTGTCTCCATAAGTATTAATATCTTTAAACCCTTGCCAATCATCTTAAATGAGTGTTTTCATATAAAATTCTTGTCAGTAAGCCCCCAAAACAATATTTTCTAGTTATTAGGAGCATAATTGTGAGAGCTAAGAAGTAAATGAAATATTTTAAATACATTTCAGAAAGTTAAATTAAAAATTAGATACATTACAGTAATGGAGAAGAAAAATGAATCACTCCAAGGACAAGAATGGTTTGAATCTCTGAGTAAATTAAGTCTAGTTAAGTCTGCAATTACAGCAAATTATGATCTGTGTGACTTCCGGCTGTTTCTTAATGTTATATCTTACAGACTGACACCTCTGCTGAGGGTCAAAGGCTATGGACTTAATGGGCATAGAGAACAAGCTACCCATGTAAAGACAGAGGTGAAGTCTGAAGCATATTGATATGGTTGTCTGCACATGAAACACAAGGCTGTCTGTGCTAATAATTCTCATGCCTCTCATTTCCCAGATACCTAAAACAACTATCACAATGCAGTGTTGCTTTTTAAAATAATTAAATGAAAACTAAGGAGTTTTAATTGGAGTTTTTATTTCAAACATTCGTTTTTCTGCTTCCACAGCAAGCTGAAGGCAGAGTGCTGCACTGAGTTAGAAAGACTGGATACAAAAACTTCATGCTGCAATTACATCAAGTCAATTAAGTTTAAAATTTAGAATTTTAGACAGTAATTGCAAAAGAAAAGTTGTGTTAATATTTTGCCACTAGATGAATTGCATTCTGCATGTCACCTTCATTTTAAATTTTTGTTGTCTAATGGACAGGCATAAACTAAACTAAATATAAACCGAAGAGTACCTTTGGTACAGCTCCAAAGCGAACACTGTTGATCAGGGAACACTCTAATACCTGTCCTTCCTGAAACAGAAAGTAAAGGTACATGAGTTCAAAGGTCTGTTGACACATGGCGTCATGTAGAAAGTGCAGCAAAAATAAACAATGAAACTTATTTGCAAACACTGTTAATTATATATCAATATATATACAACATATTTCCCCTTCGTATCTGCTAATTCCTCCCTAAGTACTTTACTTATGTGATTTGAGCCGGACTAAGGCTAGTTGTGTTAATAAAGACACACACTACTCTAAATTAAAAAAAAAAAAAAAACACTAGTAACATGCAATGTGTATTACTGACATAAATGTTGTATACCTTTCCTTCACTTTTCCAGCTCAGAAAAAAGCCAAATTCATCCACTTGAAAGAGACAGTTGGTTTCAAAGACAAAAGATTCCTATAGAAAAGAAAGTAGAGGCCAGTATTTTAGTGAGTTTGACAAATGCCATAAATTAATTTACTCATCAAAAATAAAAACTTCTTATATCTCCCCCCGTCTTCCTAGAGAATGTGCTATTTTCAAGCAATCAGAAGAGTGAGGCTTTTAACTAACGATCAATTCTAGCAAATTGTCCTACTGCTGCTGTTTGAGATATTAGATATAAGCTGTGATTCTTACCTCATCAAAAACTTCAGTGAAACAGAAATTCAAAAGCAAAATCCAAAATATGAAAGGGGAAAATTATGCCATCTGACAATACTGCATTTGGGATCAAACCACCCTCTTACACTCAGAACTCAGAAGTCCTTCTCTGATCGACTCGTGCAGCACATAGGGCACAAACACGCCGCAGGGAGAGCACCCACACAGCCAGGTTCAGAGGATACAGGGACTGGACATTGCACAGTCACATGAACTGACCAATTTCCCAGCCTCCAGGCTCAACTGATACATTAGAAAGCAAGCAAAATGTAGGAAGATCCCACTGTGCAGAATCAATCATTTTTTAAAGGAAAAAGAAGGGATCTAGCATTTCCACAATTAAAAGGCCACAGTAAAACAGCAAGCACGTGTGCAGGCTACAGGACTGAGGAGTGATCCAGAGTTCAGTACTTTATTCTGTATTAAGGACAAAGAGGGGGACACCTTCCTACTATGCTGCATCCTCTCCTGTGCACACAGCAAGGGCAGCAAGCACCAGATTCCACCTAGCAGTTTTCAGAGTAAAAGATCTTATGTAAAGGACAAATTGAATTTAGGTGGCAAAACGAGTACAAACTCCAATGCCCTCCATCCATGGGGCATGCTTTAAGATCAGCAGGTCTTCCTAGGACAGGCTGGTCTCACTAGGTATGTGGTGTCTTTGAGGTACCACCCCAGGAAACAAGAAGCTGTTTTCATTTAGAGGGGTTCAAGGATATTTCCAAAACCCCGAATCCAGTTACAAGCTTGACTCCATGCCCAGCTTCTGGTCAAGGCTGGCCAGCGCTCCTTCTTTCTTTTCTTTCTAGCCTTGACTCATCCCACTATTTTTCTTTTTCCCTGCAATTTCTCTTCTTGTGTGGCAAAGCAAGCACCAGGTCACGTAGGTGCCAAGTGATCAGTAAGATTCCTAATCACCTCTGCTTTCTTCTCCCCATATTCTGCTGATAGCCCTGCTTCAGACTCAAACTCTTCAGCAGACAGATATGATAATGCTTGGCTCAAAATGCATTTCCATAGTTCTGCAATCCTTCTGGTTACGGGACTGATCTGTCAGTAGCAGATGGATCAGGACACCACTCCAGATTACAATGACCCAGATTTTTCGAGACACTCAATGAAATTTGGCATGTAAATGTCTCATGCTGTATCAGAGCTGCTCATTCATGGAGACCCTATACCAGGACTCCTGAGCCCTAGCTCTGCACTGACTTGCTCTACAGCTTCGGTTAACTCGTCATTTCTCCTTCTCCCTGCATGGCCTCGTCTACTAAAGTAGGGATCTCAACACAGAATTTCTAAGCAATTTGGAAGCCTAGATCTGAAACAATTCTCTTGAAAATTTTAAGTCCTGTAATACAGCCATTGGTTCCTGCTACTTTTGCACAACATGCCTAAAAGCACAGTGTGGGGTAGGCGATCTAGTTCCTACTACCACCGCAGCACAATTAAATAGCAGACTATGTATCTCATAAAACTGATGATATCAAACAGTCAGACTATCAAGTTCTCACTGTTTACAGGCTATGCATCTTAACTTCTGAGTCACTGTTTTTTACAGCCCTTGATGATTCCTGTAAAATTCTAGATGAAATACGCAGTGAGTTACCCAAGCAAAATCCTTACGATGTTTCCAGAAGAGTTTCCCTCAATAAAACCAACCAGGCTTCCAAGCGTCCCATAGCAACCTTGGTGCAACCCTTAGCAAAACTGGCACGTCACACACACAGAGGCAACATTTCACACGGAAGGCGGCAAGCAGCCCCCCCTTCTCTGCGGTTTGGGAGAGCGGTAAATTGAGCTGCAAGGAGCTGCACTTTACTGCGCTGACATCGCACCCCAGGGCCGCGCAGCACTTCCTGCTGGCACAGCCGCCTGCCCACTGCCCTCAACTACTGTGAAAAGGGGCTCCGGGTCGAGATGTCTCATATTCCCTCAGGCTAAATCAAGGATCCGGTGCCTCACTGAGAGGTCCCAATCTCACTCCAAGACGCCAGCACTTGAACACTTCTCTGTATCTGCTTGTTTCTCCCTCTTCCCTGCCTAAAGTGCCAGAAGAGCCACAGTCACACGACTGGCTGTACTCAATCACTCAGGTCCACATAGGTCAGCTTTCTGAAACAGTATTCGATAAAGTAAAGAGAGAGCTTTTTCTGAATCTCATTTATAAGGTTACTAAAATAATGCCCTTATTATAAGGGCATTCAGTGTCCACTAGCGTCTTATTAGCTTGTCTATGGTCAAAACTGAAAATAAAAGGTAATATAAAACTATCCCCAACTTGGCAGTCCTCATGATAAAAAAGCGCCTTTGCTTATATTTCAAAAGATAAGTGGGAAATACTAATATCCCTGAAGGCGCTTACCGAGATACCTCAGTCCAAAAAAGATTAAAAAGACCCTGATAAAACTATACTCACAGGCATTTCAATGCGGAATACAAGGTAAATGCCTAGCCACTTTATTTTGGCTGTGTAAAATGTCCCATCTTGCATTAAAGCACAACTGAAAGGAGGATCACAGTAAACATATTTCAGAGAGAGTACAGGTCGATTTTCTAAAGGAGATAAAAACACCCCAGATCTCAAATGATGCCTCTGACTCAAAATATAAATGTTCCGTGTTCTTCTACTTTCCCCTGCGAGATGCAGGTCCCCGGTTCACACGTAAAAGACGACACACATCAGATTTGATACATACATAAAAATGGAAGGATACACTTTGTTCAGTGACGTGCCTTGTGGAACTGCGAAGATGAGAGTTTTAAGCAGATCACAGATATTTTGATTCAAATCTCCCCTTTCTTTTGCTCAGGGATTATTTCAAATCAGATGATTAAGTATATTTTAAGGCTATTTCTTTCAAAAGCAGAAACTGCAAGATTATAAAACATGTCAATATTTCCTCACCACATACATTTCTGGAGTTATTTGACAGTTTATGTGTATACATGAAAACAAAACATGAAATACTTTGTAATATCCACATATTTAAAAGAGACAGGCAAATGAAATGCGACTGGTCCCTTACCTCTTCGTATCTATCAAACACAGCTCCATCTTGCATAAAAGAGGGAACTGGCTTCTGCCAGTTAAATTCATAAGGTTTTGCCATGATTACAGAAGAAAAACCTGAAATGGAAGGAAAGAGCAGAGTTCAATAGCTGTCTTTTAAAAAGAGTATTTCATAGTCTAAAAAGGAAGAAAAATAGCGACTTCAGCTTTTCTTGTCACACAGTAGGCATATTGAAAAGGAAAAAAAACATAGTGCACTTTCAAATCAAGAGTTTTCATCACAAACATGTTTTCATGTTCCCTAAGTATAACTTTAAAATAAAAAATGCTCCTGAAATGTGTGATTGCACATAATTATTTGAGAAAACACATGGACTGTAACATTGCACTGGTTCAAATATCTGTTACATCACTAGTAGAGCATAATTAGGCTGGGATTAATGCTGCCCCAGGTAACCCAGACTATCACAGCTGGTAATATGCACAAGTGCTTCTTTTTCACAAGAGAACATCATATACCACACAGACAGAATATATTTTTAACACTCTAAATTGCATACTGCAAACAAACATTACACATTTTTACTCTGAGTTTTGTATCTCAGAATCCAGTTATGCTAAACACAGTTCCTTTTTTTTTTTCCTAGTGATATTTTTCTAGCTGAAGATATGGATAATATATAGGTCAAGATTCATAGGGAAAAAGCCTGTTTAGGAATATAGGGCATGAAATAAAATTAGCTGCCAGTGTTGCATAATTTGTGCAAGCTTAGGAATGTGAACAAAATAAAATGTTCATTTCCAATCTAAGAGTCATCTGATATATCCTAAAATATATATATAAATATAGTTATATATACATAAAATCTTCAGTATCCTTTCCAGGACCCTGGTGCTTTGTTAGGCATGTTACTTTACACCACAAAATGTCCCAACTCCGTGAAACACTAAAGTTTACCCTACCTGAAGTACATCTGCTTTGTACCTGCTTTCCCACACTATCTAGGACGTACGGTATCGTGGTTATACACTAGACCAGAAAGCCTTGCATGAGAAGGAATACACTTGGCAGTAGCATGATGAGATGGCAACTCCGACCAACAGACGGCTGAGCTCCTGACCCAGAAGGATCCACAGGACAGGGAACAGGACAGGCTGATGTGCAGTCGTTGGACTACAACAAACAAAACCCATCGCACGCGGGCACCACGCTGAGCCACGCTGCTCCAAGAGCAGACCCAACACTGCAAGTCATAGCTCAGTCTTCGCATTTCATTTGCTCCAGAAAACTGCAATCTTCACCAGCCCCTAACCATGGCACCGATTAAGCCTGACTTTTATTGGACAGACGTGGGGAAAGGAAGAAAGTCATCAGCCCAAAGTCCTTCCATTCCCCACACTTTGCTCCCCAGCACTCACCCACTTAAGTGATGGTGAAAGCCCCTGCCTCCAAAACAAGGGTTAACCCAGGACAAAGAGACTGCTTTTTCCTCACACTTGCTTGAAACGAGATTCAACAAACCCACAAAGGTCAGAAACATCTACTTAATTACAGGAAGCAGGAAGTGAATCCTGGGGGAAGGATTTCTCTCTATGTGCCTTCACAGACTTAATCATCTACTATTGACTACCTCTAGGAAGAAGATACAGGGCTAAATGTATCCAGTGCAGCAATTCCCTCTGTTACAATGCAGGCACCAAGCCCAAGCAAAGTTTGTCCAAACAAGAAGAATAAAAAGGATACATAAAATGAAAGGGAGAGCACTACAGTCCACATAATCCATGTTATACAAACTGTTTTTGCAGCGGCTGTGCATGCCAGAACTCTTAAGAGCAGACTAAAATATTACTAGTTAGGTAGCAATTCTTTCACACTGCTTCTAGTCAGAAATTTTTACTTTCTAATTTCTAATTAGAGTTCTAATTTCTTTGCTAATTTCTACATTAACTTTTAAGCACAGAATAGATGCAAATATGTATATGTGCATGCGTGTGTTTACACACATATGCATATATATGTACATATATACACACACACAGTTATGTTCTCCATCTTATTAAAAATGTTCTGGAAAGAATAAGAACAAGGAAAAGACTTAGTGCTATTAAAGAACTCTCTCCAATGGTGGCTTTAAGAATAATCACTTATGTTAATTTTCTACTGAAAAAGGAGTTCTTTTTTAAAAAAATGCAAAATATATTTTGATGTTGTCCATCTCCACATCTCCTGCCTTTTTTTTTGGTCATTGATACATGAACATCAAAAATACTGGTCATGTTTCTAAAATGGCATGAATACATTAAATGAGTTCATTCTCTATAACTATCAAAGATGCAGTCTGACAGTTACATATCACACCATTAAGCGTTCAGTCCTTTTAGAAGATGGCACGTAAACTCAAAACAACCTCTCTGTGTTCTGCAATTAAAAGAGAGGCTAAGCAAAATAAATATGGGACAAGTGACTAATAAAAATGTGATCAGCTTTATTTAGTGCCCTATCAAAAGCCCCCCCTTTTTTCTCCCCTGTGTATTTGACTTTTTAACACTCTGTAAAAGGTGTAATATCCCCCATGAGGACCATGCGATGTTTTGAGATTCTTTCAAGCAATATGCCAAAACATTGTGTTTTTATTATTGTTTAACATACTCTTATAGTCTTCAGTTCTTTTGGGGTTTGGATCAGTGCGAGTTACTTTCTGATTATTCCACATGTGCAAGTAACAGACATCCCTTGGCAGCATCACGGCAGCCCGCGCTGGGCCGCTCACTGACTTTGTGCAGTAGCCCACAATAATCACAGCATCTTGAAAACTTAATGCTTGTTCTAACTGCAAAGCTACATTTACACAAACACCGCTTCAGAAAAACAGTCTTCTGAGTTTATAGGCCTTGTTAACAGCCAGAGTTTAAAACACAACCAAGAAAAAAAAAAAAAACACCCCGATCCCAAACTATCTAACCGCTCCCCAAGGAACAGCTCTTGGAAAAATATCCCTTACATTTAAGGAAAACTTAAAACATGCACACCCAAAGAAGTGGTACACAAACCATTTTTATGGCATACTGATCCTTCCCATATAAACACCTTTATATGTTTAAATGACTTTTACTATCAGAATGTACCAGAGAAAAATCACTTCATATACAAGACAGGTAGTTTATGCACCAAAACACATTGCTAGCATGCAAAGTTCTGGGAAAGGCAGATGCATTCTGTGCTAAATCCTAAGAAATGTGAGGACACTTTTAAGGCTACAAAGAATACTCTTCCACAGCCCCAACACTGCATGCTTGATCTTTCTCTTTTTTATTTACAGTGATGTCCGTAAGTCACAGATTTTAAGATCTACATACTCCAGAATTGCTCTGAAATCTTATGACAACTGACAACATTTTTTTTTCCCAGCATCTGGCACTCTGAGCCCTCTAATGTGTTCAAACTGATGCCTATCTCTCAGACAGGCTAATTACCTTAGCGCTGCAAACATGCACTTAATTGCCAGTTTGAACTTAGCTGAGTTCATTGTCCAGCCACAGAAACACAGCTCTAAAAATCCGCGCTTTACAGATATATCTTCTCCTGGTCTGGGTACTTACACAGTGTGATGAAGTTGTCTCGTTCCTTCACTGCTGATAAACTAAACAGACTGAGCTCTTCACTTTCGCGCTGCGCACATTCTTCAAAACTCGGAGTCGCTCTGAACCCTCTCCAGTTTTCCAGCTGCCTTTTCTAAAGTCAGGAGCCCAGAGCAGGACACAGGAGCCTAGCACAGCCCTCTGTCATATGAGCCAGAATTATAGTCTTATTTGCATAACCTTGCATTTAGCTGCATGGAAACACTCTTGCTTGATTGCTCATAATTTACCAAGCAATCAGGGTTTGTGTAGAGACTTGAGCTCATTGTTATTTACCATCTTACCTCTCTCTTGTCTAGCTCACAAGCCAGGACAGTTTACAGATGAACTGAGATACACTAAGCATGAGGGAAGGATGGTTTGAGTACAAGCAGCAAGGAGTCAGATGGATAGTAACAAAGCAGTTCTTTAAGCCATATGCTTTTAGCAGCTGTGCAGAAGGTGACAAAAAATTATCTGTTTTCAAAGCAGTCCTCCTCAGTCTAACACATCTCTTACCCTCCTCCCAAAAATCTGTTATTCCCTAACCCTGTCAGCTTTTAAGATCACGCACACACACAGCTTTTCACTCTTTGGAGCTCTTGTAATCTTAATCAATTCCTAAGTAGCTTACAGAAGTATAGATAAATAACCTCAAACATGAAATTCCAGCTTTCCCTTGATTGCTAATATATGCATGCATACCCCCTGATCATGATGAGGATTCAGAACCCTTTAAAGAACACATTTAATAACAATGCAAGGTCTGAAGACTCCAGTCAGAAAGCACAGATTTAGAAACTAAACTGGAAAGCAGCCGAATTGTAATTCAAAAACTTTCAAATGCCCTGTACAAATTAAAATCAAAATTCTTTCACTGATTTAGGATTCTTAAAATATAAAAATGCCTCTACATACATACCTTTCACAAGGAGCAGACAAAACACACACAAAACACATTCTAGGGCTTGAGCAGTGACCGCAAGGGAGAAGTAGATGAAGTCTCCCAAGTTTAGCAGTTAGAAGTTTTTTGAGTTACCTCCTGTTCTTTAAGCACTGGTCTAACCCTGAGGCCACCATTTGGCTCACAAGAAAGAGCATCTTTTGATTCACCTGGAGTACCCAGAGGGTGAGGCCACAAAATTAACCACTGTATTATCTATAGCAGTATGATTTAACATAATATCTTCCTGTTCTGCAAGCTTAGCTGTACTAAACTAAAACAAGGAGGAAGGAGGATACAACACAGGACAGATGGACTATAAATTCTGCGTCTTTCATTCTTTGACCAAAAGAAGGACAAGGTGTGTGAACAGGAGGAGGAAAGGATTCTGTTAATACAAAGCAGACAGCTGTTTGGGGAAAGAGGTGATATTTTAAACTAACCCGCAGGGCCGGCTAGCATGATGGATAGGATACTCCTCGGATCCCATAAACATCCTGTCAATGTTGAGTCACTGTTGGAAAGGAGGGCAGTATCCGTGTGAGCTGATCCTGCCATTCTAAGACGGAGCTACATCATAATTTCCACAGTTTGCTTAGGCCAAATCATCACAGCAATAATGGTACAATTTCTTTTAGTAATTATTATTGTGCTTTTGGAATTAATCATTATTTGCCGAGTGAAAGATGAAGAAGCTCTGTATCTTTTATTTCTTATTCTATCACTTCTCTCTTCAAATCGCAATACCTAAATAATGCATTCTAAGAAAAAATGAAGTCAAATTTAGTATTTTTGCCTAGTGGAATTTATTTTCTTACAGTAACAAGGAACTTTTTTTTTTTTAAAAAAAAGTTCCATCTTCAAGTACGTATATCCTTCACCACCACTCCTCTTTGGCAAACAAGAATCTTTATGAACAAAACCAAACAGATCCATATAAACAGTCCAATGTAATCTTAGAGAGCTGTATTGTGGGGTTCATTGCAGTCCAGAAAGTCTATCTGCAGGGATAGAGCCACAGGGCTGTTTGCTAGAGGTAGGAACTAACAGATGGTACGCTGAAGTTCTTGTAAAAATGCCTCGTTCTTTTATTTATTGAGGTTCTAAAGCACTTTGACATGCAAATACCAAACTTTTTTTCTAGATCTTTATGGAAAGAAGATGCAGATCTTTGTACACTTCCTTCTCATTGTCAAATTTATTTCTCTCTAAATGTACCATCATAAACATATAAAAAAATGCAGATGCTGGGTATTTTTTTTTAGGCCCAAATTTATTTTTTTTAAGTGTAAGCTTTCAGCACTTTATTTTTAACCTGCTATTCACACAGCTCATGCAAGCAACCTAAACCAATTTTCCCCAAAACAAGCTTAAGGAACTGCAAAAGACATTACAGCAGAGCTCAGGCGCTTGAACATACATTGCCTTGTAAAGGTCTCATTTTCCCCTTGGTCTCATTTTCCACGTTGCTTTAATTGCTGCAGAGCACTGGCATGCAGGGGCAGCGAAGAGGTTACCCCCAAACAAGCAGTGGCCTGTTCTTCACTAACCTCTTCTTGAGCGTTCCACAAGCAGCTCAGCGAGGCTGCCCCAGGCCGAGCTCTGCCTCGGGCTAAGTGCATCTGTTGCTGACAGCAGAAAACAGCAACAGCTTATGCCATGGTACTGAAAATGAGCTGCTCCTGCCTTAACTTGACATCTGAACTGTGGTTCAACCAACAGCTCTGATGACAGCCATAATCTACAACAAGCACAGCTCCTATGGCAGACTGACAGACTGCAGGACCCAAACACGACCTCTCTTCTTCCTTAGCTGTTTTTGTCCTAAGCTCTTCTGTGTGTGTTGATGTCTAAGGTTTTGCCCAGCCTTCCCACTCGCTCCTAATCTCCCTGCTTGTCTGAACAGGGACTGAAGTGAAAAAGTCAGAGTAAATATCAGCTTGGCTTACAAAGACCAACCACTTAAACCTGCATACACACACACACAAATGCACACAAGAGACTCTTTAAGAAATGTTTACAATAGCACAATGAATTCCTGAGGAAGAAATTTTCCATATTCTCTAAGAAAATTAACTTCTATTAAAGTTCCTATAAACTCAAAGTACATTAATTCACAAAAATAAATGTGAGGCAGGAAATGTTATATATGTAATAAACTCAACATGAGGAATAGATTATAGAACAAAAAAAGCACTGGCTATACTCTTAATGTGAAGACTGTTTAATCACAATAAGAGTAATGCAATCAGCAGAAGAAACCAACACGTGGAACGCTTCCAAGTAATGGAGTAAATAACCAAAGTCCTTAAAAAATAAAAATCAAACCAGTAACACTACTGACAATACCCTCTGATTTTAGCTCCTCCCTTGGGCACTAAACCTACTGATCACAGCTGCCTGTCACCATTGGAACTCACTCATCTCAACCCAAATCTTTCCTTCCACAGTCAAGTACTTTATTAAGGCCTTTCCTTCCACTCTGTTGAGGAATGCCAAACAGCAAAAGGGTATTTAAGCCACCTCATGCTCAGAGCAAACTCTCAGTCTTGAAAAGGTAAGTTACTTGTACAATGACCAACAGCACAAAGTCCCCGAAGCAGATTCTGCCCTTTTGAGTGGATCCAAAAGGCCCGACTGCCTGTGCAGCTCTGACAGCATCAGCACTGCCGCGCGCTACCGCTGCATCAAGTAAAGCTCTTGGCTTCAACTGCTGACTAAAATGGGCCTTTAGATACGTGCCACATCAATGCCTAGAAAAATAAAAAGTTTGGTAATCTCAATGATGTGCTGAAATTAAAAACAAGCAAACAAACAAACAAAAAGAACAGATTTTACTCCTGGTACACAAGGTTATCCTATAGTCATAACAGAAGCTCATCTATACACCCCCCAGGAAAGTATGATTTGATTGGAAGAGCAAACCAAAATGCAGAGCTACCCTAATAAACTTTTCACTAAACTGCAGTTTTGTAAGTGCTAAAAAAATCATGAGGCAAACATATAAATCCACACACTTTACTGAATAAACAAAGTCATTTTTTGTTCTTGTTCTTTCCTCCTGGCAATGAAACATTTTATGCTTGCATTTTCAATTTGCAATGGTAAGTCAAAAGGCAAGGAGAAAGACAAGGACCTTCCCAAGAGATGATTTCTGAAGGTGACCTACTCTTCATACTGTCAGCTGTACACAGAATTTAGCTGATTCATCGAAAGATATAATAAATTGTGATTTATTTTCATTTGCATTGCACTGTTCATGTAATAGTAATCTTCTGCTTCCAACCTGTGAACTTTCTCTTACAGCATGAGTATCAGATAAAGAACATTTTTTCAGGTCCTTCACCCACCCTGTCTTCCTCCAAAAGTAAACACTGCTCAAATGTAAAATCAAATTGTTGAAGAATGTTGAGGATGCTCCCATTTTACCTTCAGTTAAGCAGCAGCCGTGTTAGAGGCATTAAATATTTATTTTTAGCATAACGTCAAGAATATCACTTACTGGAAGCCATCTCCCCTGGTACTACTTGAGAATGAATTGGACTCTGGTGACAGGAATAGTTTGTGTAATTGTAGCCATGATCTTTTCTAAATCGCTATAGCATGTGATGCATGTATAACACTATCTTGATTTAAGAAGCAATGACTTCTATTAAATTTAAGTACTTCCTTTCATGTCTTTCAACTGAAGATAGTATCAGAACAGGCTACCTATACCTAATGAGGGGGGAAAAAAAAAGTCTATTTTCTGAATTAATTCCTAACTCTCTTGGCTTGTAAAATCCAACCTTAAAGGAAAGTGACCTATCAATCTGACTACCAAACACACTCCTCACTATGCTATTTAGGTAATTAACACGACACTTAATTTCTATTGTTGTTTTTGTTTAATCTGTAGCTGACTAATAATACAGAAATGAAAGAATACTGTTTCTCCATTTTAAGTATACCTTTATGGAACATCTGTGATATAGATTTTAATTAAAATCTGTAAGAGAATTTGACACTTAGTATTTCAGTTTCTTCTTTTTAGCCCCTTTCAGGAGCTTTCATGATTCAAATGAGAAGTGATTTTGGTACTTTAATTTGCAAGGACAACATAAATAAATGTTTAAAATTAGAATCCTAAGAAGAATTCAGATGGGAGCATGGGGAAATACCAAATAACCCTGAAGGAGCCGCATTCTTGTTAGCAATATAAGAGCTCAAGTATCCTGGGAGATAAAAGGACTGTAAAAATGAGAGACTGAATTATTAATTACAAACTAATTGCAGAAAGACAACACAAGCTTACAAAACAAATTCTTTTCAGCAGTCTTTAGGATTTTAAATGCAAGAAGAAGTTTTGGAAATAACTCAAGCTAATACCTCAAATAAAAATAAAACTAAATACAAATATCAGCTCCTCCATGAACACGTCTTTAGGACATGGTTGTCTGTTCCCAAACAACCGTACGGGCTCAGACCGTGTATTAATAAA